GTCTATGAAACTATATGAACAGACTTATGTTCCTGTGGGCTAAGGGGTAAACATTATTTATAGTAGATGAGTTTTCTTCCCTTGGTGTATACACCTTTATACACAACTATACACTTGTGTGTGTGTGTGTGTGTGTGTTGTGTATGTGCTTGTGTGTGGTGTGTGGTGTGTGGCTTATGTGTTTGCAGGCTGTGTGTGTGGTGTGTATGTGTGGTATGTGTATCTGGGTGTGGTGTATGTGTGTGTGGTGTGTGTGTGTGTTTATGTGTGTGTGTTTGTATGATGTGTGTATGTGTGTGGGATGTGTGTGTGTGTGTGTGTGTGTGTTTGTGTGTGTTTGTGTGGGATGTGTGTATGTGTGTGGGATGTATGTGTGCTGCATGCATGAGTGTAGGTGAGCGCGTGCACGCGCGTGTACAACACAGGATTCTAGACATAGTAATAGAAGAGAAAATATTTAGCCTGGAAAAGAAAAGAGGCATGAGGGTTGCCTTTAGATACTGTTAATAGCTGTCACTGAAAAAGGGATTAGACATTCTTTACATCTCAAATAGGATAATTTGGGATCAAGGAGACAGAATTTTCTTAATGCAAAGGAAAAGGTTTCAGTCAATAAGTCCATTGGAATGGATTGCCTTTTGAAGCAGCAAATTTACTTTCTTGATGAGTTCAAGCAGAGTCAGAACACTATCTGGGGCATTATCTAGTGATTGCTTCAATTGACAAGGAAGCGGGGCAAGACACTTTCTTCTGGTTCTTTCTAAATGTTTAGATGCTAACATAAGTTTGAAGAAGTAAGTTAGCAGCCAGACAGTAAATGAACAACTTCCTTTTTGTCATTAACAGCAATAGGGACATCTTATATTTTGTCACACAGAAAAAGATTACTTTCCTAAGTGCTGTGCATTCAAGATGAACCACGAATGAGGAAACTCAAAAGCCACAGATAACAACAATCCTCTAAAAGCATTCCATTCCATTACGTAAGTTTCCAGAAAGAGCCATGGTTGTGTGTTCCTTAATCAAAGACCAAGTGTTCTTGGGATGCATCCAATCCAACCCATTCAGCCCAGTCCAGTTCATCCCAGTCCAGCCCAGCCCAGTTCAGTCCAGTCCAGTCCAGTTCAGTTAATTCCATCCCAATCCACCCCAGTCCAGCCCAGCCCATTCCAGTCCAGTTCAGTCAAGTTTAATTCAATCCAATCCATTCAAATTATGGCTGGATTATACTAACTGGAATCATAAGCATTGCATTTTCTCTTATAGGAACAGTTTTTTTTGAACAATGAGATTTTTCTTTTCAAAGACAAGTAAACATTTTCTTGGTATTCCAAGTGAAGCATGAAGAACCATTGCCTTCCTGTTGAGATTACAGAAGATCACGTTTCCCAGTTTAGGATGTTTGAGGATTTTGAGTTCTTTGGGTTTTGTAGCTTATTTAAGAAAAGTTATTTTCTTACATACATGACCCATACCCCAGGGTCATGTATGTATTTTAATTGAAACTAAATGTTTGAGAAACAACACATTCTTATATATTAGTATAGTGTTCTGAAATTTTATTTCAATGTGATCTATTTCTTTAGTAGTTACTGTTCATCTCCTACTCATTACATGAGATTTTCAAGTTGAAAAACACAGTATTGAAAAATCAAATAATGGCAGACTAAATGAGGAAACATAAATTGGATCATTTCAGAACTTTTGAAAGACTTGCGGCAGGCAGATAATTTTTGCATAAATATGGTCTTGTGGATTGCAATGAATTTCCATATTCCACTTACATTCCTTTCTGCCCACCTTTCCAGCTTTGTGCCCATCTTCCCAGGGAAAGCTACACACCCCCTCAGCCTCTTGAAACATGAAAGACTCAGAGAGATGTATAGATAGTCTGCATTCATCCCAGTATCTTAAATCCGAACATCTACAGAAGCAAGCTCTAGCCTAAAGCATGTCTGTTTATGAGCACATTCTGGTGACTGCTGCGATAATGGAATTGCTGATACGATGCTCAGAGTGCTTGGGTAACCGTTCTTTTGTTATTAGGAAGGCAAATGCCGTTTTTAAGATCAAAGTGGACACCTCCTGGAAGTTACATTTATTACAAAAGGCTAAAGTGTCTGCATTCCCAGGCATCAAAGGGACTTAACACAGAAAGACAGTAATATTCAATAGACTAGGGCAATTTCTGACAAGACAGCCACCACCTAAGTGGTTGATAGGAATGAGTGGTAATCTCATTCAGAAAGTTACCAATTCTGTCAGAGGCAGGGCAAAGCAAAGTGCTTGATAAAAAAAAAAAAATTCCTTGTCAGTGCAGGCACTGAGAATACTTTTACAGTCTGAAGCTTTTGAGTGCCCTTTGGAGGAAGTTTGATCCCATTGTTTCTGAAAGCAGGGCCTCCTTTTGCTGTCATGGCGGAAGAGATGTAAAAGTTCAATACACTGAGTCACTAGTACACTATTTGGAATGCAATCATAGGGATGAATTCTAGCCTTTCCCACATGGTGACCTGGATAGTAGCAATTACACTATGGAGAGACTGGCTCCCATTATCTGCCATCCAAGAAAGGTTCTGTGGTGTCTGTGCCACATCTGTGTTGGCTAGTTTTTATATCAAATTGATACAAGGTCACCTGGGAGGAAGGAATCTTAATAATGAAAAGAATAGAATTTCTATTTTTCTATAGAATTGGCCTGTAGGTAAGTCTGTAAGGGTTTTTCTCAATTAATGACAGATGAGGGAGGACCCAGTCCCTTGTGGGTGGTACCACCCCTGGACACGTGGTCCTTGATGGTATAAAAAAGCAGGCTCAAGCCACGGGGGGAGCAGACCAATAAGCAGCTGTTTTAGAGTTTCTACTGCTCAATGAAACACCAGGACCAAGAGCAGAACTGTGGAGGAAAAGGTTTGTTTGGCTCACACTTCTACCACTGTTGACCATAGAAGAAAATCAGGGCAGGAACTCAACCACAGCAGGAACCTGGAGGCAGAACCTCATACAGAGATCTTGTAGGAGTATTGCTTACTAGCTTGGTCCTCATGGCTTGCTCTGCCTGCTTTCTTATAGAAGCCAGGATGACTATCCCTTGATGGTACCACTCACAATGGGGTGAGCCCTCCCACATCAACCATTAAATAAGAAAATTCTCTACAGGCTTGCATACAGCCCAACCTTAGGGAACTGTGGTTCCCTCTCTCAGATGTCTATATCGTTTGCCAATTTGACATAAAACTATCCAGCAGAGTAGCATACCTCCAGGGCCTCAGCATCACTTCCTGTCTCCAGGTCACTGCCTTGAGTTCTTGCCCTGAGTCACCTGCAAGATGGACTACAAGCTGTAAGATGAAATAAATCCCTTTCCTCCCCAATTTGCTTTTGGTCATGGAATTTCACTATAGCAATAGAAACCCTCTCCTTCACTTAAAAAAACAATTTTTAACTTTTAATTCCCATCTTACTTTTCCAATTTATGTATCAAATTAGAAATTTGACAAATAAAAAATGGTATGTATGGTATGTATTTGTGGCATATGACATGCTTTGAAACACACATGCACACACAGGAGAGAGGGTTTCAATCAAGCCTGTTGTTACATACCAACTCATGACTTACTAATCCAACCTTTGACAAAGATTTGTGATGGCTACCTTCAGGGACATCTGAGAAGCCATTCTCAGCTGGGCCTGGTTCTAAGGCTTGTAAGAAAGTCCTTCAAATAGATCCCTATACATTTTTATAGCAGTTCTGAATATTCATGAACTTTGGTCAAAGCATATGGGAGAGCAATAAAGGGCTGTCATTATTTCTTTTCAAACACTTTCCAGTAATTTGAGAGGTTGAAATCCTAACTCCAGAAGTGCTGCATAGTTAATGACTATGTTTCATTTTACAAAAGAGATGACTTCCCTCCCACTTTATCTAGTGACTGACTTCTCAAATCCCCTTCACTCACCTAGGACTTCATCTTTGCAGAGACTTAAATTGGAAGAAACACTTTCCTGGGAATTACTGAATGTTTATTAGAATTCAAATGGTTAGAGTCATCAAAATTGCTTTAGTACTTGGTATCTTTCCTCCTGCAAACTTTTATGGCTTCTATTATTTGATGAAAAGACAGTACTGGTTTTTAATGCATCTTAAATGGATTCTTACAGAGTGGGGAAAGCCATGGTCACAGATAGTTGTTGCCTATTAAAAATATACAAGAGCTTTAAAATGATAAAGATTTTAGTGCTCTCAGGGGCTATAGACTGGACTAGCTCTCATACACACTGGGCAGTCTCTGTACTAATTACTGGGAAGATCTCACTCTTCACCATTAACAGAGCTGATGGCTGTCAAGCTAAGCCTTCCTGCATCTTTTTCTCTCTTGAAATGTCCAACTGTCATGTCCACAATAAACACCAATAGGCTTCAGCTCTATAGAAATCAGTCAACGGGTTATTATAAGTTCATCTCTTACAAGCATTTAGATTAGGAGAAGAGTGATTGATTATTTCCTTTGGGTTTGGTTTTCAACGAGAGTCTTCGATGTAAAGCTGTGGAAGTACATACTTGGGAGCACTGGCTTTCCTTGAGAGTAAACAATGTTAAACAGTAGACAATATAGGCACAAGCTGTGGTCCCTACTTTGTGAAGAAAAAAGTGTAAATTTAAATAGTCTTTTAGGGGAAAGAATGAAGATCCTGAAAATCTGAAGAGAATATTTTAAAGTGGAGCATGCAGTCTCTTTGTATTTTTTTTTTTTTTAACGATATGTGTTTCTGGCTCTTTTCATTAAAGATGATGATCCACGTATTTAGCATAGCATGTAATTTTAATCTACTATAGCTTACAGGTCTGACCTTTCTATGGTGTTTTGCATATTGTTACCACCTGTTTTATTACATTTCATCAGAGGTAATTGTCCTCGTGGGTCCCGAGTTTGACATGCCAGAAACATCACCTGTCATCTGCCCTCTCCCCCATTCCCCCTCCCTCAGCTGCTACTCACTCGAAAGGGTCGCTGGGGTCAGCCCTCTGGAGCTCTGGAGGGATGGGGATTTTTTTGTAGTACATTTCCCAGTCGAAGGCTCCTCGCATGGCATCCCCAGCTTGTGCCTCATACCCAAAGTGATTGTGGTCAATGACATCGATCATGGGACACACGATGGTTTTGTGGTTTAGTGCAATTTGGTCTGAAAAATGAAAGCACAAAATAGGAAATGACATGCCTGCCTAGGTCATCTATCATTTTCCAGCAAAGAGAAGCCCACAGCTCCTTTTAATGCATAACACTTGCAGCCTTGGCGTCTCCCTGTCGTCATTAGAGCACTTTGCAGGAATCTTTGAGCATAGGGCTTAACATGATGGGACAGTGATTAGGTACAATTAGAGTTGTTATATTTCCCTTTAAGAAAGTTATGTCCCAGAGAGACTTGCAGAAGTCCATTTAGCTCTACTCTGTCACATTTTTGCTCTGACCTGTCCCCAATCTGTCATTTTAACGTGCCTCCAACATGCACAGAGTATAAACAGTACTTGTGTTCCTCCAAGCATACAGCTAAAGCCTGCTGAGAAAATACAGGCCTGCTTTCTGAAGGTTCCAAAATGTAAATATTTAACTTCATGGTTTTTATAGCATCTAATCATAAAACAGTCATGATGGCTGCTCCCCCCCACAGCTCCTTGTAATGTCAACAAATCACAAATAAAATTATTTGCTGTCAAGTTTGACAGAGAATTTGTTGAGTCACTGTTCTTGGAGACAGACTCTACTTATCAGTGCTGTGCCCATTTTATCCTATTCCCCCCATCCAATTAAAAAACACTATTAAATGACGAGGTGCTATTGCTATGGATGCCACTGGTAAACCCAGGGCATTTATACTCATTCTCTTTCTGATACTCCCACTATCCCCGAGAAGGGGCTGTTGTTGTCATCCTGTTTATACACAGCAAAACTGAGCTCAGAGAAGTCAAACAACTTGTCAAGGGCTACTCAGCTTTGGGAATAGTAATCAGGATACAGCCCCTGCTCTACTCTCCAGCTCTAAAACCTATCTTTCTAGGTTGCCATGGTGCTTCTCCTAGCAGGCAGGTGATTTTTCTTTTCTTTCCAGTTCTAGTATTTGGCTTTTCTACCCAGATATTTTTCTTGTGGTAGAATTAGCAGGCCCTGCAGGAAACTGGCATTTGTTTATTTTGATGCATGTAGAATAGCAGTATGTGAGGTATCTTTTTTTCCCCTCACTCTCAAGAACATGGGTTTAATCAATTTATTACAACAACTGCTGTCTGACAGGCAGGGTGTTTAAGTATGAACACCTGCTCTCTTGTTATTTGGAAGACCTTTGGATGTGGCATGTGACATTTAACAAAGGATATCATTTAGAAATATGATGGAAGTTGGTTATTTCTGTGTATTTTCTTTTTTCTCAGAGATCCTGAAGCTACTGTAATGTGTGTGAGCGAGATCATCTTTTTACAGTGAGGAAATTGCACAAGAACTTTGGGAGTTCCTACTTAGCATAGAGCAGGAAGCAAAAGGTTTTATTGGCTATAATAACAGATGACATTTTTATCATACTAATAAAACGGAGTGTGGAGAGAAACAAAAATCCCATAGGGAAATATCCTAGCAATTACACATGCTCATCCATCCATCCATCCACCCACCCACCCATCCATCCTTTCATGTTACAGTATTTATTTACTAAGTAAGAACAATGGGCCAATCTTTTTTTTTTTTTTTTGGTTCTAAGGTTATTGTAGAGAATATGCCACAAATACCATTGTATTCAGGAATGGGGCAAAAATTTATAAATAACTGAATCTTACAGTGTTTTACAAGAAAAATAAGACAAAGAACAGTGGTAAGGAGGATACAGAATGCTGGAGTATGGAAAAGGAGGCAGTTTTAGATACCATGACCCCAGGAAGCCTCAGAGAGCGAGGAACTGTATTTCTCTTAGTGCCAGCTAATTAGGAGATGGACCACATCAAGATAACTGCCACCATGGGCTCAGGAGCATCTATTTTCACCAGGGCAAGCCTTATTGTGGCTTGTTTTATCTAAGTCGCATTTTCCCTGGAGGATGGAGGGGACCATCAGAGTAAGGTTGGAAACAGTTTGCCGATCACCTCTGCAGCTTTTAGTATTATGGTTCCAGTGACTTTCTTCCATCAAATTCAGAACCAGCTTGATTTACAAGTTCCTTGACCAACAAGTGGTCCCAAGGTGATCCAAAGAGAATGAGTCTGTTAAATGAACTGTCAACGTTCCCTTCAAATTTCCTTTCAGCTCTCATCCAGCTGTACTAGCTTTGGGTGAGAGCCGCATGACTAATTTTTCATCCAAGGCTGGTGCCTACATTTCAATTTCCAGGGATCAAACAAACAGACTCAATAGGAAATTGAAATTCAGGTATAATTCCCAAGGTGAAAAATGAACCAAGAAGCAGCTATGTGGCTCCGCCTGTTTCTTCATTTTGGATGATGTATCAAGATACTGATAGAGGGAAATAAAGAGAGATAGCATCCCGAGCTTGAATCGTTTCATATCCATCAGGCTCACAGGAAATGAAATGCTTTAATGAGAAAGAGTGGGTTGTGGGCGAACCACAGTGAACCATCAGGGTCTGATAATTGGCATTTAGGGATTGCTTTGACAGCATACAGGTCAAATTCAGTTTGAGGGACTCTTGCTGTTGCTAATGAAATTCTAAATGTCTGTGTCCTTGGACAAAGCACTTTTAATTAAAGGTGCAGGGGAGTCTCTGGCTGATGTGGTCCTGTGATCCTGTTGATTGAGAAGGCTAGGCAGCCACCTGTGCAGAGGCATATGGACTGGGAGATTTGGGAGAGGGCATTAGTTGCTGGGTGTTGTGTTTTACAACCTATATGGATGTCAGTGAGTCCCTTGTCTTGTTTTTTTTTTTTTTTCCACTGGTGTAGCTTGGCTGGTTAAAGCTGAAATCCCACATAATAGTTAATAACCAGCACTCTTTCTGAGGTGGTGGCAGTGAAGGTGGCTGTCCCTGGCTTTATTTAAAACTTGCTTTGGGTAAATATGAGAGAATAAGAAAGGAGGGCAATAGATATGTACTAAGAATTTTCTAGAAAGAATTTCTTTAGGCATGTAATTTCTTTCTTAGGCACAATGGGGTTTTCTATCTGCCTTTATTGTAAACTAACAAAATAACAATATTGAGGCTCGAATTGAGCCACAGTTGGAGTTTCTAGCTGAAATGATGTCCAGGTTGCTTATGTCTCTAGTTGTTCAGTGCCATGTGACATGGCATGGTTTGCTTCCTTCTGTCTGTTAGCTATAACTGATCACTTAAGAGTCATTATCACCTGGGCAGCAGCTCAGTGTCTGAGTGGCTCTGTGTGAACGTGGAGGATTACACATTTAAGAAAGAAAAACAAAAAGGCAATGGCATTATACATCTCAAAAAATGGCAAGTCACTTAGATTCTTATATCCTGGGGCTAAATAATCTTCCTTCCTACCCTCCTTCCTTTCTTTGTTCCTTCGTTCCTTCCTTCCTTCAAGACAAGTTTTCTCTGTTAGCCTTGGCTGACCTGGAACTCACTCTGTATACCAGGCTGGCCTTGAACACACAGAGATCTGCATTCCTCTGCCTCCAGAGTGCTGGAATTAAAGGTGTGCACTGCCAATGCCTGCCTGTTCCTCCTTTCTTAACCACCTTGTGATAACTGTTATAAAGTGTGTATATGCCTATACATGAGTATGTGTATTTTGATCTTATTCTAATTATAGGATAACTGAAAAATAGTTTGAGGCTATTTTTTAACTTTAGTTTTTACCCAATAAATATAACTGCAATGGAAGAAGAAGACATACTGTAAAAGAAACCTTCCTAACCTTAAGTTAGATTGCCACTGATCCTATCTGAAATGCTATTTAATGCAGTTATACTTATTTGTCGTCAGACTCAAGCCTTTCTTGACTGCACATCATTAGCAGGGCAGGTTGCCAGCTTCCCAGGTCCAGCGTGCCACTGTGAGAATGATGTGGTATACTCACTGAGGAGCGGGGGCAGCCAGTTCACATTGACCTCACAGTGGGAGTCCAAGAAGGTCAGCACCTCTCCTCTGGCCATAGATGCTCCCAGGAGTCGGGTCCGGATGAGCCCTTCCCTTTTCTTGGTGCGAACAATTCTTACTTTGGAAAACCGAGCCATGTAATCCTCTAACTTATCCTTTAGGTGTTCTAGGAAGGAAAGAGAACACACAGGAAGAATGTCAAACATTAGTTACAGCAGATAGCTTTGTGGATGCTGGATTCTGTGGATAGAGCATTATGTGAATGGTGAATCTGAGCGGAACAATTTCAAAGTCTGTGTTTCTGCTCTCTTCATCGTGAGGACGATACTAATAAGATTTTATGCTGAGGAGTTTCTATATTTTTATTTCCCCCAAAACTTCATAATCCACACATGTTGCCCTTTGGGTTCAGTGGTCGGCAGTGATACAACAGAACTCAGTCAGGCAGCTAATGCTGGCCAGTGGCCACCATGTTAATCCTGGCCAGCTTGTGTCAAGATGGGCATCGGCCTTCTAGGTCCTGCTGTGCAGTCAGATGAGCGTCCTCGCATATGGGCTCTTCCCGACAAGAGGTTTTGTTTTTCGAGACAGGGTTTCTCTGTGCAGCTTTGGAGCCTATCCTGGCACTCGCTCTGGAGACCAGGCTGGCCTCGAACTCACAGAGATCCGCCTGCCTCTGCCTCCCGAGTGCTGGGATTAAAGGCGTGCACCACCAACGCCCGGCCAAGAGGGCTCTTTACAGCAGAGTTTTGCCTGGTAGTTTGTGTGCTGACAATAGTGCCCGTAAAAACAAGAAGGGAAAATGTCTGTCAAAAAAGTAAGAACCACACAGCTTCCCACCCTGCAAGATGTTAGAAAACTGGGAAGTAAGTCCAGTTCTGGCTCCTAATTTGAACTGGAAATGTGACTCACGAGGTATTGAAATAGATGGAGAAGGAAAGGCAAAAGAAATCCTGTACTGCCGTCTTGCATGCTGCTATGTAAAATTTGGAAATCATTTGAACTTCTTAAAATTAGAAATGTTTCTTCCCTAGTTAAAAGCAAACCTTGGGAGCAAAATGAATTTTAAAAACCTGTTTACATGATAAGGTATTTTCTACTGGCTTTAAAATTGTATCATTCTTTCAATTCTTCTAAAGCAAAATGGTGCATTTGGTGACTTTTGTGCACTATGAACTTAGCTAGTTTTATTCCTTGATGCTACTGGTCCATGTATAAGGATACTGTGCTGCTAGTTTATGTTAACTTGACACAGGTGAAGTCAGGTGAAAGGAGGGACCCTCAATTAAGAAAAAATGCCTCTGTAAGACTGAACTGTAGGCAAGCCTGTAGAGCATTTTATTAATTAGTGATTGATGGAGGATGGCCTCGCCCATTGTGGGTAACACTACCATTGGGCTGGTGGTCTTGGGTTCTATTAGAAAGCAGGGTGAGCAAGCCATGGGGAGCAAGCTAGTAACTAGCACTTGTCCATGGCCACTGCATCAGCTCTTGCCTCTAGGTTCCTGCTCTACCTGAGTTCCTGTCTTCATTGCTTTCAATAATGAACTGTTTTATGGAAATGTGAGTGAGACAAACTCTTTGCTCTCCAAACTGCTTTTGGCCACTGTGTTTCATCACAGCAATAGAAACCCCAACGGAGACAGATACTATGAGGATTTTGAATTTCTGATAAGTGTAACCTACTAGACGCCAAACTCGTGTTTTAGAATACAGTGTGCTATTATTTATCTATTTTTTATCTTTTAGTCTTTTTCTGTGTCTTTATAATCAGAGTATGTACTCCAGAGACAGAGACAATCTGTAAAGCCAAGACCTCCACAAATCTCTAACCCCATAATAATGACAGGTAATAAAAATTGCCTGGAAGAACTTTCATTCCAGAAGAATGATTTTAAGTATGTTCGAGCAACTCAAAGAAGGCAGGAGTATAGTTCTTGAGAGCAAAACAAAGAGATGAATGAGAAAGTTAATCCAAGATATGAAAATAGAACCCAATGAAGCAATACAATTGCAGATGAAAACCCAAATTAAAATGATGCTGGAAATGAAAAGCTGAATACACTGAATAAAAACTTCACTGGAAAGCTCCTACCCCATGCTCATGGATTGGTAGGATTATAATTCCAACATGATTATGCACAGAATTTAAAAAAAAAACAAAGCAAAACAAAACCCTAAATTTGTTTGGAAACACAAAAGATCAAGGTGAATAAAACAAAACAAAGAAAAAATGGCTGGAGGCATCACCACAAGGCTCCAGTGGGTAGTTCAAGACCCATGGCTACATGTATGGATTTGGTTCAATTTACTGGGTCACAAAAGAAAATAAAAAGTTATGAAGATAGGACAGGAACTTGTAGAAATGAGAAGAGGTTGCTAAGGGTGGAAGAGAGATGAAAAAGGACAGAAGGGTGAGAGTAACCAGAATGCATTATGTATAGATGTGAAATGTTCATATAACAAAACTAATGATGATGATGATGATGATCATGATGATGATGATGATGATGATAACAAACTAAAAATGGCTTGTGTAGGAATCTAATTGCACACACCTGTATCACTCCCATGTAACTTGGGCCTGGGACAACTGAGATAGTTTTCCTGTTCCTGATATTGCTTGTTTGTTATGTGTAATAAAATCCATTGTCTCAGGCCCTGGAATGCCATGACCTTTGCCTGTATCCACCAAACAGTGGGGAGATAACTGCATAGTTCTTTGCATAGAGACCCTGAGGCTGCTCAACAGCACACTCTGGAATACTGTAGGTGGCCGTTTGACCCAAGTGGAGTTCTCACTAAGCACAGAAAATGTTATAGGAAGGGAACATAAGATTTCCCATGATTGACTAATTCATACCAGGTACAACCTAGCCGTGCTTTAACCAGCCCCACGTTTGTTTTGTTGAACAAGCTTTCATATAGCCCAGGCTGGCCCTTACTTCCATCCATGAGGGACTATAAACTACAAAGTGGAAAAAACCTTTCCCTCCTTAAGTTGCTGTTTATTAACATGGCGTTTTATCACAGCAATAGAAACCTAAAACAGTATAGAATATACAATTGTACAATGGGTTTTGCAAAAGGGAATGTAGTAGATTATCACTTTATACAAAAATATTTTGGCATTTTGAGAAAAGGCTAAAAACTGATTTTAAAAATGTGTATAATGTACTGTCCCGCGCGCTCTGTATTTCTCGCCAGCAAGAAATCATACATGGGACACTCGGATCCTTCTGCAGACAAGCTTTAATGCATCTTACCAGAGTGGAGACACTAAACCAAGAAAACCATCCCTTATAAAGGCTGACCAGCCGCCTGGGACGTGTTACCCTATGAATGGCTTCAGCTCCTCAGGCAAAAATGAGCCACGGGATAGGCAGAGATCAAAGGAATGGAGATTACCCAGCGCCTGTGAAGTAATTTACAACTTGGTGTCTTCAGGCACCTATTATTGTAATGGATAATGCAGGAACCGGCTTCCTACATATCCCCCTTTTTTTATTAATTAATGAAAAGGCTTTATATTATTACAAGCAAATAGGTCACCCATATGTTGAGGGATAGAGGCAGAGGTTGTACCTTCCCAAAATCAAACATTAAGACTGTGTACGGGAGTCACCATCAGGCTGTTAGCTTGACCCGAAGTACTCTCGAC